AATGTGCAGAGAAGAAGAAAGATCATAAATGGTCTGGACTCTAAATGACAGTTGAGAAAGCTAGTTATGTCTAGGCCATGGAAGAGAAGGATTGGGGGGGCATGATAGCTATCTTCCACTACTTGTGGGGCTGTCACGAAGAGGAGATCAGCTTATTCTCTACGGCAGGGCTTGTCAACCGGTGGTACGCGTACCACTTGTGGTACGCGACCACCTGGCTGGTGGTACGCGGCGTTGCCTTCCTCCCCCCCCTTGCTACTTTCCACCTCACTTGTTTGTGGAAAATATGCTGCTTGGCGGCAACCTGCACGAACTTTACTGAATGTGCCCTGCAGGAGGCGCGTGAAGAGCGCAGGCGCAGAGCAAGGCCCCACCCTCCCCAGGGGTTCATTGTGCAGCAACTGGTTAGACTTCTTGTGCACTCAGATCAGCGAAGGGGAGGCCGCTGCAGCGTCGAACTCCTGCGCCTGTCAGCTGGTGACCCCCGAACTTGCACTTGTCAGTTGGGAGGTCTGGCCCCGGCGCCGGGCGCCACTCTGCTATACCACACGTCCTCAACCCCTCTCCCAGCCCATTCATGTCGAGCCTGCCTGGGCTTGACAGGGAGAGAGGAAAGGAAGAAGGAAGGGACTCCTTCTTGCATAAGGTTCAAAGCATGATCAGCTTCCCAAGGGCACCACAATCCCAATTCACATGTTTCTGCCGTACCTCCTCAGTGCTCCCAGGAACGGAGGGGGGGGGGAGAAAACTTGGCTAGGCTAGGCAAAGAAAAGCCACAGAGCCGCGAACTCAGATTGCAGGCAGGATGGGGAAGGGGGTGAACAAGAGGAAGAGGATTGGGAGAGAGGAAACGCCAAGCTTGTCCTCGCCTCTCCCAAGAACCTCCTGTGCCACCTCACAGGAACACCTGGTTTCAGATTTACGCCGCAAAAGTTTTTCTTGCAGAGGAGAGAGGAAAAACAATTGCAGAACACGCGGAAATCCCTTGCAAGGCACCATGTACCTTGGTGCTTATTTCCTAATGCTTCCTCCCATTTTCTGCTCCACCCCGAATTCGTCGCCCTTCTACTCTCCTTATGCAGCCATCTCTATGATCTTAATACAGCCCTCAGTCTGTCTCGCTTTCAACACCCCCTAAAATTCTCCATTCAGGCAGGCTTCCAGAATTCGGCTGGCAGGATGCAGGTAACCCCTCCCCGCTATCCTGCCCCTTCCCACGGCACCGCGCCACTCCGCATCCAGCGCCTCTGTATCTCAAGCCTCCATGGCACAGAACTGCTGGCGTTATGCTTGGGTGGAAGATTTTTTTTCTTTTACAGATGGAGCGAGTGGGCCTGATATTCGTGGGCAGGCAGGACCCCACCCGCCGAGCCACCACCTCCCCATCGCCCTCCACGCCAGCTGGCTCAGTTGCCAGACCTCCCAGCTGACGGACGCAGGTCCGGAGGTCGCCAGCTGACAAGTGGAGTTCTGCGCTGCAGTGGCCTCCCCTTCATCCTCCCCTTCATCCTCCACACCGGCCAAAGCGTTGCCTGATGTTCCAGCTGATGGGCACAGGTCTGGGGGTCACCGGCTGAAGGCACAGGAGTTTGGCGCCGTGGTGGCCTCCCAGCTGCCTCCTTCTTCGGCCGGAGCAGTTGCCAGGGCTTGCATGGCCCTCAAGGGCTGCTGACGTGCTCCCCGCAGCCAGCAACCATGCAAGCCCTTGGCAACTGCTCCAGACGAAGAAGCAGGCAGCTGGGAGGCTTCTGCTGTGCCTACCTCCTGCGCCCGTCAGGTGGCGACCCCTGAACCTGCGCCCATCAGCTGGAACTTCAGGAAATGCTTTGGCCGGTGCGGAGGACGAAGGGGAGGCACAGAACTCTAGCCATCAGCTGGCGACCCCTGGACCAGCACCTGTCAGCAGGGAGGTCTGGCGCACAGAGCCAGCTGGCGTGGAGGGCGATGGGGAGGCGGCGGCTTGGCGGGCAGAGTCCTGTCTGCCCGTGAATGTCGGCCCCACCCCCCCCATCTGTAAAAGAAAAAGTATTCTTCCCAAGCATAACTTTTAAGGATTTTAAGGATCTTTGTGAGGGAGAGAAAGAGGGAAAGAGAAATAGAGAGAGGGAGAGAGAAAAAGGAGAGAAAGAAGGAGGGAGAGGGAGAAAAAGAGGGAGAGAGAAAGGGAGACGGAGAGAAAAAGAAAGGGAGACGGAGAGAAAGGGAGAAAGAAACACAGCGAGGGAGAAAGAAAGGGAGAGAGAGAAAAAGGGAGAGAAAAAAAGAAGGAGAGAGATTAAATTAGTAACATGGTTGTTCAGTGAATCTGGTCTCCCCACTAACTTTGCTTGTCACAAGGTTGCAAAAGGTGATCACATAACCCTAGAACAATGTGACCATCATAAATAAGAATCGGTTGCCAAGCATCCGAATGTAAATCACGTGACCCTGGGGATGCTGCAATGGTCATAAGTGTGAAAAATGGTCATAAGTCACTTTTTCCAGTGCCGTTTTAATTTTGAACAGTCATCAAGCAAACTGTTGTAACTTGAGGACTACCTGTACTTTATCACTTTTTTCCATTTTTTTTTTTTTGTCATCAAGCTTTTGACACCTTGCTGGGTGACTGGTGGTACTCGAATTCTAAAAGTGGTACAATCGGTAAAAAGGTTGAAAAGCCCTGTTCTAGAGCAACAGAAGGCAGAACAAGAAGTTCATGGATGGAAGGTTGTCAAAGGAAGATCCAATCTAGAAGTAAGGAGAAATTTTCTGTCAGTGAGTGCAATTGATCAGTGGAATAGCTGGCGTCCTGGCATTGTGGATGTTCCATCACTGGAGGTTTTCCAGAATAGACCGGACAGTCATTTGACTGGGGTTATATAAGGCTCCTGTCTTGAGCAGCGGGTTGGACTAGACCACTGAGGTGCTTTCCCACCCTATGATGCTGTGATTCTAGATTTAGAGGCAGCTTAGAAAACAGGTACAGAGCAGCCACATGAAATTGCTTCTGATAAGGGGCCTTTTTAAAGAAAAAATGTTAGGCAAATTAAGATAGAATACAAACTCGAAAGAAAAAAGACAAACATTGCAACAACAACAAGGATGGGCAAAACATTTAAAAAAAGGGAAATGTGCATTAAGAAAGAGAAAAGACAAAAAAGATTTCCATTTAGTAAATCAGTTGAATGTTGATAAACATAGTGTAACAATATTAGTTTCCTACCCTTGCAAAGCAGGCCCAAAATTTGTGAATTTCTACCTCTAGGTGGAACCAATTTGACCTTAATCTACTCTGTATAAAGGCAAAGTGCTGAACAGATGAACCAACAGTAAAGTTAAACATCAAAGCCCTCTCTTAACCATCTATTGTATTTAACTACAATGGCTTGTTATTTACGGTAAGTCACCCCAATCATTGTCTCTGTGCATCGAGTCTGTTTAACTCCAAATCTTTGGAATCCACATCCCCTTCAGCCTTCTCCAACCAGCCCGCAGTTTCCATCCATGGTCAGGCGGCTTCTGAGAAGTGGCTGTGCTCCCAGTCGCAGCTTCTTGGGAAGAGCTCAGCTCAGCTCACAAAGTCACCTGCGTCCATTTGGGCAGAGCCACCCATTCGTGTGCGCTCATAGGATCATATGAAAAAGAGTTCCATGGTTTTTACATATCAGGACATAGTAAAGTCATCTGGTCCTTAACAGTTCTTAATAATAGATTAAATAAACCTCAGAGGAAAAACAACAACACATGACCTATTATATACCATGTCATCATTTTCATTTAAAAGAAAGTCAATTTTTTCTTTAAGGTTTTCCAGGAATGCCTACAAGTAATGAGAGAAACAATATGTGGAGCAATGAACTGATATTAAAGTCTGCAGATGAATCATCCTGAATTTAGAAAAAATCAAAGAATTGTATATTTGTTCATTTCACTAACAGAATTCAGAGGACTGGTTACAATTTTTTTCTAGTGGATCATATTATAGGTAGGTAGGCAGGCTGTCTGGGGGCGGGACATTTACGCCATAAATTACAGCACACTAGACAGGAAGTTCTTTGTATGCCATCTTTAATTCCTGGATGAAAAGAGTATCAATAAAATATACCTTGCGGTTCTTTTATTCCAGATTCCTCCATGCAACAGAGCTCAGATTCAATAGTTGAAATGGCCACTAATCCCAACCAAAACCTTAGAGATGTACATTAAAAACGGCAGTGCAGGGTGTCCCTCTAAAAAGGTTAGCCTGGTGATCAGTCTGCTGTGTGCTTTTCTGGGATATTCTATTCTTCCCTTTTGTTTTCTTTTTAAAAATGTATTTTAGAAATATTTCTTCTACCATATATTCACAATCATCCCCTCTTTCATAGCCCCCATTTTCGAGGCCCTGCTGCATATTATTCTCCCTGTGACCTAATGGAGACTCCTGTGCAAGCAAATTTACAGAAGTACATGGCATTTAGCAGATATAGGTTGTCCTTCAAGAATGGTATGCTGGGTGCTCTTGGATGCAGCCCTGGCCAGCAGGAGGGATGTTGGCTCCCCTGGAGCATCTGGCCTGATGTTGCTGCTATGTCCTAAAACCTTGGGAGCCACATTAAATTAGTCATAAAGATTTCAGATGTAGAAAGGTTTTGATCTCCCATGAGAGTCACGCCTAGGAAAACTGATTGTATAATTGTGTAAAACCGTCATGAACATTTGGGGCTCAGCACATAGCTAATCTTCTAATGGAACTAATCTAACTAGCATCACATTTCACTAGGCTCTGTTGCAAAGGTCGGTTGCTAGAAGTCAGAAACGATTTGATAGCTTTTAATCAGGGGAAATCGTACAAACACCTTAGGCAGAGACGGGACAAGCGTGTTCTTCCCCTCCTATCCGCGGTCAAACAGGCAACATCTGTGCCTATAAAGCAGACAATAAAGAAGGCGGCATCTGTGTTTGAGTTTAAAGGAGTTAAAACCATCGAGTACTATATTGCTAGAAAGCAGGTGAGGAGAGGGGAAGCGCCCAGGAACTTCCTCTTCCTGATCACTAATCAGAGGAAGATGGTGTGTAGGGTGCTCTTCCCTGATTGAAGCAGCAGCTGGAAGGTGAGTGGAGGGCAGGTCGGAGGAGAAGCCGGGAACAAGCGGGGCTGTTTGGTTTCCTCCACGGCGTCCAAGCAGAGAAGCAACTAGGCTGAAGCATCTCAGCTGCTGCTGCTGCCAATCCCTTCCCTCCCCAACTTTTAATTCCTCTGGTGCTGCAGGCTGTTAAACTGGGGGCTGCGATTTTCTGCTGGTGGGAAGATTTCAAAAGTCTCCTTCAATTGTTTGGGAATGGCTTCCCTCCAGACGTTGTGAGTGCTGCATCACTGGAGGTTTTTAAGAGGAGACCGACAGCCATTTGTTAGGAATGGTAATAGGGTCTCCTGCCTGCGCAGTGGGTTGGACTAGAAGACCTTCAAGGTCCCTTCCAACTCTGTGTTTTTTTACAATTTTTTAAAATTAATTTTCTATTATTACATTTGATTAGTGCTTAATAAACATGTGTTCTGATCCAATTTCTTTGCTTAATAATACAAGTTACATTCTTAGTGTCTACCCCTTTTGTCCAACCATTGAGGAAATAAATTCCATGTTTGAAAATATTCTGTATCTTCTTTCTCTTTGATCCTCAATGTAACTCTGTCCATTTCAGCACATTCCAATATCTTCTTAATTATCTCTTTGTCTAGTGGTGTTTCTTCATTCATCCAGTGCTGAGCAAATACAATCCCTGCTGCTGTTAATCCATGCAATGTTAAATATAAACTTTGCTTATTAAATCTTTCTGATATTATACATAATAAAAGTAGTGCAGGTTTAAAATCTACATGTTTCCCTAACATCTTTTTTAACCAAGTGTGTATTTTTGCCCAATTTATTTTGCTTTAACACAAGACCACCACATATGGTAATATGTGCCAGGTGTTTGATTACAATTCCAACATTTATTACACATATTTTAAACATTTTTGCTAATCTAGCAGTGGTAAATGCCATCTATAGAACATTTTATATCAGTTTTCTTTATAAGAAGTTGCCATGGTCAGTTTATAATTTATTTCCCAAAGATTTTGCCATTTCTCTAATTCTATATTATATCCAAAGTTTTCTGCCCACTGTATCATTGTTTCTTTCACTTGTTCATCCTCCATTTTTGAATTTAATAGAAAGTTATATAGATTCTTAATCCATATCCTGCATTTTCTTTGGATTCTTTTAGCATTTTCAATTTAATTCTGGCTTTCCTTCCTTGCCAAATACCTTTCAAAATCAAAGTATTTAAATCATCAAAAAAAATCTCTATTTTTATAGGTGCTGTTTGGAACAAGAAGAGCAGTTTTGGTAAACTATTCATTTTCACAGTAGCTATTCTTGCTAACACTGATAGTTGTAAGTTTTTCCATTTTTCTAGATCTCATTTTATTTGATTAAGTAATGTTATGCAGTTATCTTTTATGATTGCACATCTTGCTGTTCAGTATATTCCCAAATATTGAACTTTCCAACTATTTGAAAATCCATTGTTCTTTTTGCTTAGATGTAAGATTTTTAACTATAACTTTTGTTTTTTCTCTATCTTCAATCCAGCTACTTCTCCAAATAACTGAATCCTTTTCAATAGTTTAGGGCAGACATGTCAAACTCATTGTATAAGAAATACAATTCTTGTGCGCCAAAAGATAAAAACTAAAATCTACGGTACTTAATCCCAGGATTGCTTTCAACAATGGATGGAAGCATTTGTTCACCCGAATCAAGTGAAATATGAAAAAAATGACATATAAAGTTATTTTGGATACCGAAGGAAAATTAAAATCTAAACAAGAGCTTGTAGACCAGGGTATTGAATTATCATGGTGGCCTCAGATGCAAATGCAATCGAGCTATCATAAAGATGCGAAAATATATGGTTTTTTTAAAGAACAGACAATGTTTGATCAGACACTGTTGACCTCTGATAAAAAACTGATTATTATTTTTTCATTTAGCATGTTTTTAAACTTTTCTGGCATTTTTGGTAGATTGGCTTTTTTCATATATTGTGTTGTTTTTTTTCCAGAGAGATTTTTTTTCTATATCATATAGTTTTTCATAATATTCTTTAACTATTTTTTTATTGCCTCATTTTGGAGTTACACATCTCCCTTCTCATCTTGCAATTGGTTATCAATTTTTTCTCTATTCCTTTTTTCAATTTATAAGCCAGCCATCTTCCCAGTTTATTTGCATTTTCGAAAAAAAAATATTTTGCCCTTCTCATTTGTTGAGCCATTTCTTCTGACACTGTTAGGTTTAGTTTATGTTTAATTATCTCCATTTGTCTTTTAAGAGTTTTTTTGTGGATGTTTTTGAAGTTCTAGCTCCAATTTTTTAAACTTTTAGTGTTGTACACTGTGGCTTTTTCTCTTTATTCTTTTCAGCCGTATAAATTGTAGCTAATCCTCTGAAGTATGCTTTGGCTGTATCCCATATGTACAGGAGTGAAGTGTCTTCTTTTTTATTTTCTTATTCCATTTCCTTTACTGCTATTTCTGAAATTCTTTCTCTTTTAATAAGAGTTGATTCCATGTCCACCTTGATTTCTTCTTTATTTCTGTCCAACTCAGCTCTCTCGGATTATGGTCAGCCTAAATATTGGGTTCTATCTCAACCTCATGTAGATTAGTTCTTAATTTCGGGGACAACCATATCATATCAATTCTAGACCATGATTTGTGTCTATTTGAATAAAATGTATTCTTCTTTATCTTGTGCCATATCCTTTATCGGACGTTGGCGATCATGTTGGTGATCCTGTTTTTATCAGCAGCTGCACGAAAAAGTGCTGCTGAGTTTTGTCCAAACCAGTCCCTTAGATTTTGAAGCCACGATGTTCTTCTTCTGCCTGGACCTCGTTTGCCTTCAGTCTTTCCCTGGAGGATTAAATGGAGCATGCCGTATTTTTCTGGGTGTCGCATCACACGTCCGAAATATTCTAATTTTCGTTTTTTTAATTGTTTTGATGTTTTCCCTTGGCTTTCCCAGGCGGCTTATCACCTCCTCATTTCTGATCTTGTCAACCCATATGTAATAGCCGCCTGTAAATCCACATTTCAAATGCTTCTAATCTCTTCGGGTGGCCTTCTATCACAGAGCTTTTCAACCTTTTCACCCATTGTTCCACTTTTAGGATAAGGCAATATCCAAGTACCACCAGTTGTCCAGCAAGGTGTCAAAAACTTGATGACCCCCCCCCCCAAAAAGGGAAAAAATGATAAAGTACAGGTAGTCCTTGACTTACAACAATTTGCTTAGTGATTGTTCGAAGTTACAACGGCACTGAAAAAAGTGACTTATAACCATTTTTCACACATGACTGTTGCATCATCCCCAGGGTCATGTGATCACCTTTTGCAACTTTTTGACAAATGAAGTCAATGGCCAGTGGAGGCTTGGCCAGCTCATCACTCAGGTTGAAGGGTGCCTGTGGGGGGTGCAGGCGGGGATGTGGGGGGATCCGTGTGTCTTTGGTGAAGGGGGTGGGACAGGCATGGGAGCCTTCCCTTCCTCTCTCTCTCCCATTGTCCCTTCCTTCCTTCTTTCCTTTCTTTCTTCCTTCCCTCCATCTTTGTCTCTTCTTCCTTCCCTCCCTCCCTTCCATTGTCCTTCCCTCATTGTTCCTTCCTTCCTTCCTTCCTTCCTTCCTTCCTTCCTTCCTTCCTTCCTTCCTTCCTTCCCTCTTTGTCCCTTTTCCTTCCTTTCTTCCTTCCTTCCTTCCCTCTTTGTCCCTTCCTTCCTTCCTTCTCCCCCTTTCATTGTTCCTTCATTCTTTCCTTTCTTCCTTCCCTCCCTCTTTGTCTCTTCCTCCTTCCCTCCTTCCCTTCCATTGTTCCTTCCTTCCTTCCTTACCCCTCTCATTGTCCCTTACTTCCCTTCCTCTTTGTCCCTTCCTTCCTCCCCCCCCTCCGTGCCCAGGAAGGGACAAGGGGAGTGGGACAGGCTGTCAGCATGGCTGGCAGCTCTGCTGCCGTTGGCAGGGCTACAGCTGATTTGTGCTTCTGGTAAATTAGCAAGTGGCATCTTTTCCAACAAAGCACCAGCAAGTGAGCTGGGCAGGAGCCCAGGAGAGCAGCTACAGCTGATCTGCACTTCTGGGCTGCTCTGTAGAAGCGTAGGTCAGCTGTAGCTGTGCGCCCCGTTCCTGGGCTCATGCCCAGCTCACTTGCTTGCGTGAGCGAGAGGGCATGGGCGCGGAATCGGCATTTCTGAGCACACGCCGATTCATGCCCCTTCATTCTTCTGAATGAAGAATTATAGGGGGTGTTGAAAGCGAGACAGACTTAGAACTGTATTAAGACCATAGATGTAAGGAGAGTGGAAGGGAGGCGAATTCGGGGTGGAGCAGAAAACACGGGGAAGGCGTTAGGAAATAAGCACCAAAGTACATAGTGCCTTGCAAAGGATTCCCAAGCGTTCCGCAATTGTTTTTCTTCTTTTGTGGCATAAATCTGAAACCAGGTGTTCCTGTGAGGTGGCACAGAAGGTCCTTGGGAGAGGTGAAGACAAGCTTGGCGTGTTGTGGTTCCGGCTAATGAAACATTCCAAAGAACTTCCAGGCATTTATTTTCCTAAAAGTCTTTTATTGTTACAAAATGTCGGCACAGGCACAATGAGGGGATGCTAGGATCTAAGATCTCTTCCTCTGAGCAGTTAAATTATCAGCATGTTCCCTCCCTAAATTACTCGTCATATCTCACATTATCCAATTAGTGTGAAGGTCAAATGTTTTCTTCCTCTTTCTTTCCCGGGCTTTACCCCCAACTCCCCTTCTGTTCTGTATTAACCCCATAATTACCAGACAATTCTACATATTGTCAAAAGTAAGAATATACAATATTTGCAGCTTTGACATGGCGTTTCCTTTCTCCCAATCCCCTTCTTCTTCTTCACCCCCTTCCCCGGCCTGCCTGCGATCTTAGCTCACAGCTCCGTGGCTTTTCTTTGCCTAGCCTAGCCAACTTTTCTTTGCCCGCCCCGTTCCTGGGAGCACCAAGGAGGTACGGCAGAAACACATGAAGGCGAGAAGTAAAAAACAAAACAAATGCGGAGTTCCAGCCAGCAGAGGCATGGCAGCCCGGCTGCCGAAGAACAGAAGAATGCAAAACCGAGGAGAAGAAGGTGGCGGTTTTCTCCCAAAGGCGGCTCCTTTTCTCCACCTCTTCCCCAGGGTTTGTGTAGGACAGCAGTTCTCAACTTATGGGTCGCGACCCCATTTGGGGTCGATCGACCATTTTACGGGGGTCGCGAAAGAAGGCAATCCGCCATTTCCCCCCCTCAGGCGGCGGTGCTGCGCATGCGCGCTGCGCGAGGAGGCGCCGCCACACATGCGCGCTGCGCGAGGGGGTGCCACCGCGCATGCGCGCCGCGTGAGGGCACCGCCGCGCATGCGTGCCGTGTGAGGGGGCACCGCCATGCATGCGCGCCGTGCGAGGGGGCACCGCCCCGCGCGCATGGCGCCGCACATGCGCAGTACGTTTGTGTGACGGGGGTCGCTGTCACACAAACGTTGAGAACCACTGGTGTAGGAGGTTCTTGTCTCTGACGCTGACAGGTGCTCCTTTAAGCTGGCTGTGAGCTTTCTCGCCCCTTTTGCTTCTCCCCCTGCTTTCGTGAGGATTGTGGTGCCCTTGGGAAACTGATCATGCTTTGAACCTTAGGAGAGGAAGAGGAGTCCCTTCCTCCTTTACTCCCTCTCTCCCTGTCAAGCCCCCGTGGGCTCGACATGAACAGGTGGGGGAGGGGTTGAGGACAACGGGGTGGCAAAGGAGACCAACGGCCGGCACCGTTCTACCTGGCAGCTTGGGTGTTGGTTCCGTGGGCATCCCGACCAACAGCTGAGCTGCAGGAGGCAACGTGAGGGCCCTGAAGGGTATCGCAAGCTCGGGGGGGGGGCGAGGAAAAGGAGATAGAAGAGAGTGAGGCCGCAACAGAGACAGAGAGAAGGGGGAAAAGAAGGAGGGGCAGTTGTGATGTTGGCTCTCAGAGCTGTGACGCGAGCGGTCTCAAACCCCTTCCTGCGGTCTCAAACCCCTTCCTGCCAAGGGAGTGGATGGCTCTGTCTCCTATCAGACTAGCGCTTGTTGTGAAGTAAGAAGAGAGAGGAGAAGGACGATATGGATCCTGCTAAACTGCGTGCACGAGAAGACAATCCGGTTGCTGCACAATGAATTCCTGGGGAGGGCAGGGCCTTGCTTTGTGCCTGCACTCTTCATGCGCCCCTTGCAGGGCACATTCAGTAGGGTTCGTGGAGGCTGCCGCCAAGCAGCATGTTTTTCACAAACAAGCTGGGAAGGAGCACAGTGGGAGGGAGCAAGGCGACACCGAGGGGGGAGGGAGGCGACGCCGCATACCACCAGCCAGGTGGTTGCGTACCACCAGTAGTACGCATATCACCAGTTGAAAAACCCTGTTCTATCAGAGACCAACTCTCTACTACATAGAGCAGGATAGAAAAAATATAGCATCTGACAAGCCTGATTTTCAGTCTTAGGCTTATGTTGTGACTGCAGAAGACCTTTTTCATTTTGAAGAATGCTGTTCGAGCTTTCTCTATCCTAGTCTTTACTTCAGTGGTCATGTCCCAGCTTTCATGTAAATTAGAACCAAGATGTGTGATCCTTTCAACTTTTTCTAATGGTATTCCTTCTGAATTTATTGGTGGTAAATTAGCGGGTTGTTTGCTGATGACCATGATCTTGGTTTTTGAGGTGTTAAGCTTCAAGCAGTATTTTTTCAGATATTTCTGTGACTCTGTTGATGAGGAGCTGAAGGTCTTCATGCTTACTGGCAAGCAGAACTGTATCGTCAGCATATCTTAAGTTGTTGATCTAAACGCCATTTACTTTGATGCCAGCATCGATGTTCTCCAGTGCCTCGTTGAAGATTGACTCAGAGTAGATATTGAACAACAGTGGAGACAGAATACATCCCTGTCTGACCTCTCTTCTTATTTCTGCATCATCTGAGTATTTTTGGGCTAGTCTCACATTTGCTACCTGATGCCAGTACAGATTCTTTATTATTTGGATGTCTTTGTCATCTAGTCCCCCTTGTTTCAGGATTTCTAATAGTTTGCTGTGTCTTGTTTTATCAAAAGCTTTTCAAAATCAATGAAGCACATATAAACTCTGTGATTGACATCTCTACAACACTGTACAAGAACCTGAATGCTGAACAGCACATCTTGTGTACCAAGATTGTTTCTGAAAATTGTGTGTTACCTAGATGCTCTTCAATTTTGTTCTATATTCTTGTGTGAATTATTCTCAGGAATATTTTCAGAGCATGACTCATTAAGCTTATTTTTCTGTATTTGGTACACTTCTTTGCATTTATTTTTGGGGGGATTATCACAAAGGTTGATTTTAGCCAGTCATTTGATATCTTTCCTGTTTCATATATCTGATTAAAGAGCTGCAGTAAAAAATTCTTCCCATTGTTCCCAGCAATTTTAAAATTTCTACTGGGATATCATCAGGTCCTCTGGCTTTTCTTGTTTTTGCTAATTTTATTGCATATTCAACCTCTTCCATAGTGATATTTGGTCCAGTTGTTATACTTCCCATATCTATATCATCCCTACTGCCCTCAAAAAGTTCTTCAGTATATTCCTTCCATCTTTTTAGTTTTTCATCCTCATCTAACATAATTTTCCCCTTTGTCAACTAAGTTGTTGGTTTTCTTTTTGTAGAGGCCTGCTGCTTCTTTCACTTTTTTGTGTAAATTGAAATTATCATGCATACGTTCTGTCTCTTTTATTTCCTTGCATCTCTTTGCAAACCACTTTTTTTTGCCAGTTGAATTTTTCTTCTAATTGTTTTCTGCAATTCATTGTATTTTTCTTTGTTTTTATTTTCATAAAAGATGAAGAATGAGATGAAGAATTTCCTCTGTCATCCACTGTTGTTTCTTGTGGTACCCCTCTCTCTGTTCTGAATTTGTTACCTCTACTATTGTATTTTTAAATTTATTCCAGTTCGCTTCTACATCATCATCATTCAGGTTGTTGGTTTCCCTTAAATGATTTTCTAGTTCTTCTTTAATCTTACCTCCATGTTTAATGATGAAGTCTCTGCCAATTCTTTGTTTAGCAGGGTTCAGGTTTTTCATCCTTTTTAGTTTCAGCTGGACTTCAGCAAGTAGTAGATTATGATCGGATGGTACATCTGCACCTGGGTATGTCTTTCCTGATTTTACTGAGTTTCTAAATCTTTTGTTCATTGTAAAATAGTCAATTTGGTTCCTTACTACATTATTTTGTGTATCTGCTGGTGATCTCCAAGTGTAGAGGCGTCTTTTTGGCAACTTGAAAAAAGTATTCATCACACATTGCCTATGTTCCTTGCAGAAGTCTTCAAATCTATCACCTCTATCATTTCTGGTCCCTAAGCCAAAGTTTCCAACTACAGGAGTATCACTTCCTTCTCCCACTTTTGCACTGAAGTCCCCCATGAGTGTTGTGATATCATTACTTTTAGGGTTTTCAGTACACTGCTTATATCTTCATAGAACTTCTCTAAATCCTCCTCATCGCTGTCAGCTGTGGGAGCGTAAACTTGTATGACATTCATATTTACTGGAGTACTATTTATTTGGATCATTATCACTCTATCGGATACAGCAATAAAGGACTTGATGCATTTATTTACACAATTGTTTACAATTATAGCTACTCCATTTTGATGGTGTTTGCTATTTTCACCAGAGTAGTAGATAGTATAATTTCCTATTCTACACATTCCATTTTCAGGCCAGTGCATTTCACTCACTCCCAATATAGAGATATTGTATTTGGACATTTCTTGGATAGTGTTGTGTGTTTTCCCAGCTTCATACTGTATAGGCTTCTCAAATTCCATGTACCAATTCATAGTTTTGGGTTTATCATGCTTCTAGCGGACTGGGAGATTCTTAGCACCCCTGACCCATTTAAGGGCCGCCAGTAGTTGGGGCCATTGTTAGGTTTTACCACCATGAACATGATTTTCCTGGGAAATATAAAGTGTGGTAATCTTCCCTTTGCTTTCTACACAATAAAAAGTATACTGAGTCTTTTTTGGGTTCATTTCTTTCCAGACATTCTGTACGTAGATTTCTTCTTCCATTTTAACACCTTAGGTAATCTCTTTCTTCCTTTTTTCCCCTATTTTACTACATTTGTAATATAATTTTTCATTCACAATTGCGTTAAAACCTCCCACTAAAAAAATATTTTGATATTCCATTTCCAATATTTTCCTGTGTAGTTTTTGATAAAATATTTCTTGTTTATTGTTTGGTGCATATATTGCTATTATCAACATTTTTTTTATTTATCACCATTTCCACCCTCAAAATTCTTCCTTCTTCCTTCAAGGTCCCTTCCAACTCTGTTATTCTGTTATTCAGCAGTTAAAGCTGCCACATCTCTAAAATTAGCTCAAAGGTTTGACTGTAAACTATTTTGGGACAATTTTCCAGGCTTGAAAGATACACATTTGTAGGTTTGTGTCTATATTTCTCTCTGTATGCATATATCTGCAATTATAAAATCTAGCTTCAGCACTTCCAGATAACCCTTTGATGATAACCCTTTGCATTGTTAAGAATTTGTGATTGTCCAAGTCAACAAGAGAATTTCATGACTGATCGGATATCTGAACTTGGATTTAGGTAGTCTTTCCATGTGTCAAATGAATCATAATTAATGTATGAGATTATTCTTATATTGTGTATGTTTGCTTTTTCATTGTAATGTATATATTTTTTCTTTTTCTCACATTTCTAACCATTTAATTACACTTTTCTTTGAATCTTATAGACAAAGAGGATGGCAATAAAAAAACTCTGGACAATTAAGAATAACAAGCAACATTGGAAAAGGAAAGCAAACTGAGCCAGAAATCAAAATATTTTCCATTTCCTTCAGAAAACCACAAAATTCTCCTCCTGCAGTAGCGGTTAGACAAAAGAGAGAGAAAAAAAGAAAGATTTCATACTAGAATAAGTAGATGATTCAGAACTCAAGGATGCCTTACATGAAAAGTGAAGGGAGATTATTTTTCATTCATTAAAAGAGGGAAATACCTGGAAGTCAGTGGAGGAAAAGGTGAGTAGGAAAGTCAGGTAGAGCAGAGAGCCATGTAGGCCTCGCCCTGTGAGGAAGAAAATGGATTGAATGAAAATACCACTAAACAAGGGATTGTCCATATTTTTAACTTCCTCAAGAATATCAGTTGTGGAAAAGCTCCGTACTTGTGTCTCTTGTTGTAAAAGCACAGATTGCAAATCACAACTGATTATGCATAAGAGGAGCCATACTGGAGAAAAGCCATACAAATCATCTGATTGTGGCAAAAGCTTTAGTCAGAACAGCTCCCTTGTGGTTCATGGAAGGACCCACACAAGAGAAAAACCATAAAAGCACTCCTAGTGCAGTAAATGCTTTAGTGAGCATGGCAACATGGTGATACATCAGAGGATTCACAGCAGGGAGAAAACCTATGACTGTACTGATTGTGTGAAAGTTTCATTAGAAATTCCCGTGTCATGAGACACCAGAGGACTCACACAGGAGAGAAACACTTCCAATGTCCTGATTGTGGGAAAAGTTTCAGTAAGAATTCCAGCCTTGTGAGACACCAGGGGATTCACACAGGAGAGAAACACTTCCGATGTCCTGATTGTGGGAAAGGTTTCAGTCAGAATTACAGCCTAGTGACACACCAGAGGACTCACACAGGGGAGAAACCCTTTGAATGTACTGATTGTGGGAAAGGTTTCAGTTTGAATTGCAGCCTTGTGATACATCAGAGGACTCACACAGGAGAGAAACCCTTTGAATGTCCTATCTGTGGGAAAAGTTTCAGTTGCTATTCCAGCCTGGTGAGACACCAGAGGACTCACACAGGAGAGAAACACTTCAAATGCCCTGATTGTGGGAAAAGTTTCAGTCACAGGTCCAGCCTTGTGAACCATCAGAGTACTCACACAGGAGAGAAACCGTTTGACTGTCCTGATTGTGAAAAAAGTTTCAGTCTGAATTGCAAGCTCTTGAGTCACCAAAGGACTCACACAGGAGAGAAACCCTTTGAATGTCCTATCTGTGGAAAAAGTTTCAGTCTAAATTCCAGCCTGGTGACACACCAGAGGACTCACACAGGAGAGAAACCCTTTGAATGTGTTGACTGTGGGAAAAGTTTCACTGTCAGTTCCAACCTGGTGAGACACCAGAGGATTCACACAGGAGAGAAACCTTTCGAATGTCCTGATTGTGGGAAAAGTTTCAGTCAGAATTCCAGCCTTCTGACACACCAGAGGACTCACACAAGAGAGAAACTCTTTGAATGTCCTATCTGTGGGAAAGGTTTCAATGTGAATTCCAGCTTGGTGAAACACCAGAGGATTCACACAGGGGAGAAATCTTTCAAATGTTCTGTCTGTGGACGATACTTCACTCATAAATCATCCCTTATTGCACACAAGGAAATCCACATGAGGCAAAACTTGAAGAATTTAGAAAAGGCTTGAAATTCATTTGTGATCTCCCAATGAAACTGTAGTTGAGAAATTGACTATTTGAATTGTGCTCTGAATCTTTTTACTCAAACATGTCTCAGGACTAGACTTGTAGGTGGAGAGAAAAGGAAAATGAGAAAATTTTTATAAAATGTTTTATAGATGGCATTTTGATCCCCAAAAGTTGTCCTGCATGTATCCTAATTTACAGTCCAAATGTTGGAGATGTGGAAGCTTAGATGCAACCTATTTTCACATTTGATGGACTTGTAGAGATACAAAAGCTTTTTGGATTAAGATTTGGTGGAATATTCAAAAGATTTTTAAGAGAAAGATAAAGTTTACTCTACAATTATTTTTGTTGGGTATTACGGTTGATTTTGATGTTAAAGAAATTAATTTGATGTTGAATCTTATAACAGCTGCAAGATTATTGGTGGGGCAAAATTGGAAGAAAAACTCTTTGCCTACTATGGAAGAATGGATACTTAAGGTGTCTAACTTAGCAGAAATGGCGAAAATGTCCACTTATTTGAAGGACCATTCATAAGAAAAATACATTTCGGTTTGGAGAAGATGGATTGAAATATGAGACTGAAAAGTATTATCTTGCTTATGAGTAGACTTTAGATTATTGATTGAATTTATACTATTTTTAGAGTTATGGTTTAACTGTATTTTTATTTTTAATTTGTTAATATTTGTTTTGAAAAAGGAGTTAAACTATGTTATGGATTTGATTGTTAGTAGAATTGGGTAATGTTAGTTAGATTATAATTGTTTATTTGTAACACTAATCAGCTCTGGGAAGTGGGGGAGGGGGGAGGGTTTTGGGTTAAATATTGTAAAAAAAATGTAAAACTTTTAATAAAAAAAAGAAAATGGAAAAGGGCTAACTACCAATTTCTGGTTAGCAGCAGCAGCTTTTGTAGAACTTGTGGATTTCCTCAAAAAGGCTTCTGTGTGGTAGTTTTATATGTTGATTAGATAATTCCCATATGTGGAGTTTCAGGTCTTCTACCTTCGTTTCCTCTAGATTCTGTGGCCCAGAATTTCTCAGCCAGCGTAGAAAATGTCTTCAAGATATAACTGTCATGGGCCTTGAAATTATAGTTGCACGTTGCAATGGCCATTAAATGAGACTTCTTTCCGAAACCACCCTGATCTCTCTGATGTAGCCATTAACTGAATGTGTCAGTCACTAAGTGGAACACTGGCTGGGGAAAACTCTTGGAAGAAATCTCTAGGAGGCCTAGTGCAATCCCAGGTTTGCCTGTTGTAGGCATCCAAGGTCTTCCACCTTGGTTTCCTGCAGAGTTTGAAGCCCAGAATTCCTCAGCCAGGGTAGAAAAGGTCCTCAAGTTATAACTGTCACGGGCCTTGCAATTATGGTTACATGTTGCAACGACTGTTAAGTGAGACTTCTTTCCTAAACTACCCTGATCTCTCTAATGCAGCCATTAATTGTGTCAGTCGCTAAGTGGAACACTGGTACCTCAGGGTTGGGGAAAACTCTTGGAAGCCTAGTGCAGGCCCAGGTTTGACTGTTGTAGGCATCTCTAGGCCTCCTCCACCCTGTGCTCTATTTCCCAACCCTTGTGCCGCCCAGTTCTTTCCCACCCCAGGGTCTCCACAGCCTTTTTCTCCCTCCCACTGGGTCCCTGCACGCCTCACACCCTCCTCTTTCTTTCTAAGATTTCTGATCCTCATGTTGGGGATGGAGGGGAGAGTGTGCATCCCTGGCCCTTGGGACTCTGTCCCGGAAGCAGTCATTATTTTCAGTGGGCCCTGGCTTCCTCCCTGGGCCATGCGGTGGACTTGTGGAAGTGGCTGCCATTTGGCCATACTGTCATCCAGAAGAGAGACAAACCTCTCTGTTTTGCTACCTAACATGAGGGAAAAAAATGTACAGTTGAAAAGGTTTCATTGTTGATAAGGGAAAAAATGGGTATTTTCAGTGTTGCTATGGACATTAGGTCAAGGGAAGTCGCTCAGAGGTGCCTCAAATGGTGAGATGGGCAGTGATTAAGTTTAATAATGAATGAATGTAATAATAAAAAGATAAATGTAAAGCTCATTACTCAACTCTTGCTCAATGTTACATACGGTGGGTTTCTAACACATAACAATTGTTAATTTTCAATCTGTCTCTTGTGCAATCTACATCTCTAAGAAATCTGTTTTACTCAGCTTCCCTTCCCTCCTCATTTATAAATTTAAAATTTCAGTTTCAATCACACATCAGCCCCGCCACTCTCTGCTTCTAATGACATGAGCTGCAGTTCGGCTTCTGCCTCTTAATTTATTGTTGCATTGCTATCTGCTCACGTCCTAAATTCTATGAAAATACAGCAATTCATTAGGCACAGTTTAAAAATTAGAACGGCTAACTGGATATGTTTTGATTGGCATCCTTCTCAGATTCGGCGATTGTCTTCTCCATCCCTGCCAGTCTGAGAGAGGGAAATTAGGACATTTCAAACCGGACAACTAAGCTATGGTTTCCCTCTAAAACAGCCATTTGTTTTGCTAGTCAGTTTGTAGCCTTTGAAAATCAAAGAATCACAGAGGATCTCTCTGATTTCCCTGATGATTCTCCAAATTCTGAACCAGATTCGGTAGACATCATGGAAGTTGAGGTCCCCGTGGATGGCAACAATGAGTAGACACAAAAGTTCAAAAAATGTCGGGAATGAATTTCTTTAACTTAAGAATATGTCGGCTGCTCAGTCTGAAAACTGGTCCTGAGTGTGGCACTCTGGGCATTTGAAGGTGCCTGTGATCTCTCTTGGTTCTTCTGGGTCCTGTCCCCCCTGATTTTATTTCTTCTTTTAAAAGACTGAGAATTTCACAAGTTGTTTAATTAAAGTAAACTTCTGTTTCCACTAATGCTTCTGGAGAAACAGAAATGATGTGCAGCTGTAACAAGCCAGAATGGGTTTGTTAAGACTGTGATGCCAGACAAACATTATCGCCATTTTTGATTAAGTAACGTAATTAGTGGTTTTGCAAAATGTTTTGGAGATAGTATTCTTGGACGTCAGCAAGACATTTGACAAGGTAGAGCACAAGTTAACTCTTTGATAAGATAGAACAACATGGGATAGACAGAAGCAGCACTGGGTGGATTCGCAATTGACTGACCAACCACACTAAGTGGGTATTCCTCAATGGAACTACATCTACATAGAGAGAAGCATACAGTGGGGTACCTCAAGGTTCGGTCTTGGGCCCAGGACTCTTCAACATCTTCATAAATGATCTAGAGGATTGGATGGAAGGGGAACTTATGAAATTTGCAGATGACACCAAGTTGGGGGGAAGAGCTAGAATCTTTACTACTAATAATAATAAGAAGAAGAAGAGGAGGAGGAATCTGGATGAGGAGGATTACTACAAATTCTTGGGTATCCTTCAAGCTGACAACATCAAGCACACTGAAGTCAAGAAAAAGGTTAGAGATGAATACATCAAGAGAGTGAAGAAGATCTTAAAGTCCAAACTGAATGGAGGAAATAACATAAAGGCAATCAACACCTGGGCAATTCCAGTCATTAGATACACAGCTGGAATAGTGGACTGGATTCAAGCAGAACTAAAAGCAATGGATAGGAAGACCAGAAAAATAATGACAATGAATCATGCCCTTCATCCACGCAGTGACATTGACAGACTCTACCTACCAAGGCAAATAGGTGGGCGTAGAATGCTGCAAGTACATCAGATGGTTGAAGAAGAAAAAGTGGCTTTGGAAGAATATTTCAAGGACAGTGATGAAGATGCACTGAAATTAGTATATCAGGAAGGTTTACTGACTACTGGAGAGACCAAACTGGCCTACAAGAAAGACCAAATGAAGAAGAGAATAGAGGCATGGGAAGACAAAGCACTACATGGCCAATACATTAAAAAAATAGCTGGGAAAGCAGATAATAACAAGACCTGGCAATGGCTAAGAGGAGGAAAGTTGAAGAAAGAGACCGAGGGACTAATTCTGGCTTGCACAAGACCAAGCCTTAAGGACAAATGCATACAAAGTCAAAATTGAGAAGACAGCAACAGACAGTATGTACTGCCTGTGCAAAGAAGCTGAAGAAACAGTCGACCACCTGGTAAGCTACTGCAAGAAGATTGCACAGACTGACTACAACCAGCGGCGTGACAAAGTAGCAACAATGGTGCATTGGAAGATCTGCAAGAAATATCATTTGCCTGTAAGCAAGAACTGGTGGGATCATAAAATAGAGAAAGTCATAGAAAATGATAAAATTAAACTGCTCTGGGACTTCAGAATTCAAACAGACAAGCACCTGCAACATAACATCCCGGACTTAATAATTGTCAATAAGAAAGACAAAAAAGTCTGGATAGTGGACGTGGCAGTGCCTGGAGACAGCAGAATAGACGAGAAAGAACTGGAGAAGATAACAAAATACAAAGACCTACAAATAGAAATAGAAAGAACGTGGCAAAAACAAGCAAGGGTAGTACCAATAGTAATAGGTGCCTTGGGTACAATCCCAAAACAACTGGTTCACCACTTGAACACCATTGGCATTGACAAATTTGCCATTAGTCAATTGCAAAAGGCGGCCTTACTAGGAACTGCTTCCATCCTGCAACGATATCTGTAATACCATCAAACATCCACATCTGCCTATCCCAGGTCCTTGGTAAGGACTCGATAGGTAGACAAAATGCCAAATCCAGTCTGAGCATCTGACTGTGCGATGATCAATAATATAATAATAATAGTAATAATAACAGTAATAATTACTATAATAATAATTACTAACAGTAAATGGGGAGAACATTGGTGAAATTAACATCAGACGAGGAATTTTCCAAGGGGACTCACTTTCATCACTACTGTTCAACATTGCATTAATTCCATTGACAATAATCTTACAAAACAAAAAACTGGGATTCTACATCTCAAGCCAGCATGGCAAGATAAACCATCTGCTGTACATGGATGACTTAAAACTGTATGGGAAAAATCACACTGAATTTGAGTCTCAACGCAGTCCAACTGTTTAGCAGTGACATCAGAATGAACTTTGGACTTGGAAAATATGCTGTACTATCCATGCAACGAGGAAAAATGGCAAAAATAGAAGGAATAGAACTGGGAAATGGAAGTATTGTGAAAGCACTAGCAAAGGATGACGGTTACAAATACGTAGGCATATTGGAAGCAGATAACATCTTGAATGGAAAAGTTGAAGAGTCAACGCAAA